AATTGATGATGAATGCGTTTCCAGGCAATCCCACAGGGTGTGGAGTACCCCTGATTACTTTTCCCAGAGGCTGGAAAGACTTAGTATGTTGCGGGGTGGGGTAACCTTAGTCATCTCTAGGATCAGTGCCATTGACCCCAGCCCTCTTACACCATCCCTCCTGGCACCCTCACCCGTGCCAGAGGTATTTCCAGCCTCTCAATTACCTCCATTGCCCTCAATTTACCTCTCCTGCCACCTAACTGCTTCAGGTCTTTGGGGAGTAATTATTAAATCCCTATCCTAAAAATTGCTAAATGATCCCACAGGAGCCAAGAAAAGTTATTCCCTTTATGAAGCAAACAATGCCGCCCGTAAAGACAGACTCGAGAGAGACCCAAAGGACAGCTTGACAATCACCCACAGGTAAATTCATTCTTGATTTAGTGAATAAAAAGATGTATGGAGCACAACCTATATGTTAGGTCTGGGGACACCGGAGAATAGAACGTTGAAAGGTCTCTGGAGGCTAAGGCAGGAGGATTGCTTGAGTCCAGGAGTTCAAATCCAGCCTGGGCAACATACTGAGAAACTAGCTCTAAAACAACAAAGAAACAAACAAACAAACAAAGGCAAGAAATTCAAATCTCTCTTCTCAAGGAGTTCACAGCCTACAGCCTAAAGTGGCTCGCTGACTATAACAATAAATATGTACAATATGTGGCTCACTGCCAGCCGGCCAGAGGTGACCAAATAACTCCTAAAGGATAGGCAGAAATTTGCCGGGGTATAAATAGATGAAAGGCATCCCAGAAAAAGGTGATACACTTTTAGTTAGAAGGAAAAGTAAATTATCATTACCAAATATTACCTAAAAGAAAGTTATTCCGTCATTTCTTCCAAGGTGTTCCCTTTATGCTATTGGCTTCTGGTTTTACAGGATTTTAAAGTAGCATCACTTCCTGACACCACTGGGTGTCATTTACCCCATGTGTCACTGTAACGGGATTGCCTTATCAATGTCCCCAGGCTCTGCCACTCCTTCCCCTGATAGAGTAACACCAAGACCTCAGACCCCTCCGGCTTTAAGGACACTGTCTTTGCCCTCCTCCCTTACCCTGTCTTGGTCCAGTGTGACAGCTCTGATTTCATTCTCTTCTGTTCTCATGGCTAATAAGAAAGATGCAAAAGAAGATGGCTTTCCCTCCGGGCCCTTCATTACTACTGAGCTTGTGTAACAGCAGTTCTAAGCTCTCTAATTAGTACAGTCTTATCCCCTGGGGTGAGTCACCCTGATCAAGGCTCTCCTGAAAGACTCTCCTGCATCCTGTTCCCTCAACTTTTTATCCCACCCTGCACATGACAGGTGATAGGTGGAAAGTCCTAGGTTCTTGTAAACGTGGCCTCTAAATTTTGTGGGAGAAATAAAGGACTCTCAATAAGTTTTCATGGTCACAACCACTAAGGACACATATGTAAATAAATAGATGACTGTAGGTGTAACATGAAGGTTACAAATAATACCTAATTGCTAGCAGGATAACTATAAGTAGCCCATTCTCTCCCACTTAAGAATATATGTACATATGCCAGGCATAGTGGCTCATGCCTGAATTCCTAGCACTTTGAGAGGCTGAGGCGGGTAGATTGCTTGAGCTCAGTTCAAGACTAGCCTGAGCAAAGAGCAAGAGTGAGACCCCACCTCTGTTAAAAATAGAAAAACTAGCCAGTCGTTGTGGCTGGGTACTTGTAGTCCCAGTTACTTGGGAGGTGGGGCAACGGGATCACATGAACCCAGGAGTTTGAGGTTGCTGTAAGCTATGATGCCAAGGCACTCTACTCAGGACAACAGAGTGAGACTCTGTCTCAAAAAAAAAAAAAAAAGAATATATGCACATATTAAAAAGAATATAAATTAGGGCGTCTTTTATGTAGATGATCTAATTAATTTATAGTTATTGTTCTGAAACACACCAGCATTTTACATTTTAATAACATTCCTCCTTATGAGAGCCAATGGTCATTCTAGGCCAGTCTGCCTGACACCATAGGCAGGGGCTGGTTTGTCCAGCCTTGTTTGCTGCTTCTAATCAAAATGCTTTATCTGCATGGTATATTGAACACTGAGCACCGTGCGCTTTGTGCCTAGGTCGTTTTGAAAGAGAGAATGAAAAAAGACAGAGCGAGAGATTGAGCGAGGAAGCGCAGCCAAGGCTGGAAACTCTCAACCATTTCCTCTTTCACTTGAAGAAGGGACATGAGAAGGAGGTGGTTAGAGAGAGGGCTTTACAGATACTGAGCACTTTAATTCTCACAACCATTTTACGAAATAGGTGCTATTATTACCGCACCTTACCGGCTTGTGAGAGGTTAGTAACTTGCTTCAGAGCACAGAGTTACTCAGGGCACAGCCTTGAACTCTCACCTTTCTGGCTCCAAATGCCATTTCCATTGAAAGCTGGCCTCTGGGAGAACAAATTTCTGCAGTAAGAGTTTCCCACTAGGCTCCCGTCTACCACTCTCTGTGATTCCTGAATGCCTCTACCTCCCCCTAAAGGGCAGGAATCCTAAGAGAGGAAGTCAGCTCATTTCCCGTTATTCTTTCTCTTTTTGACTCCTCTCTTAACTTCACCCAAATCACGTTTGACAAGTCCCAAATAGGCTGAAGCTTCCTTCTTTACCATCAGTATTTAGAAATGTGGACGGGTTTATGTTTTCATGAAACCTGTGAGATGGGTTTGTTTTATTAAAACAATAATCAACATTTTCAGTTGAAAAATTTAAAGTCTATTTTTTTGATTCCAGTCGTCTCACTACGACTAGAGTAAGGCAAGGTCAGCCTCCAAATGTTCATTTTTACTTCTGAATTGGAGCTAGTTCAACTTCTCAAGTCCTCCCATATTTCTGCTTCAAATAGCTGTGGTAAATCAATACCCAAATAAAGCTTTACTTTTCTTATGTTGCTAAACAAATAAAACTTTTCATAAAAATAAGTCTTCTGTAGATATAGAGTGTGATTTTATTCTAAAATAATGAAATGTCTGTCTCTGTCTGAGTTGTGACAAACAGATATTTTTATCATGATTGTGTGGCAGTTGAGGTAAAACACGTGGACTCTGGAGTCAGAACGTAAGGATTTAAAATCTGACTCGCCCATTTTTTAGCTGTATTACCTTAGGAAAGCTACTTGTCTTCTCTGGGCATCAATTAAATAAGCAAATATTTAGAACAGTGACTGGTATATGCCCAATAAGACTTACTTGTATTTATCTGGAGGGAGTAATTACTACAAGCAATACCTCTAATTTAATCGGGAATTCTTGTAAAGAGAGAATAGCTAATTGACAAATTGCCTTCGAATGTAATGAAATTTTAATCACACTACATTTAACAATTAATGAAGATGATATAGTGCATTTTAGAGACATTTAATTAAACATTTATTATTTCAAACTTGCAGCTCTCTTTTTGTATTCTGAGCCAATTTTTTTTTTCTTTCTGATCTCACATATTTTTATTGGCTTTTAACAATTTCATAGGCCCTAAGCATTTTAGAAGTCAGTGGGAAATGGGCGTGGCCAAGGTAAACGAGACAGCTATCCATTCTAACAACCCCCTCTGGTCCTAAATATTAGTCTGTGGTAGCCAGCCTCCAGCAGGACATTTCTCCTCGACAAGAGTTTGGAAGGGTTTCTGGATATTTTGGAAAGGTTACTAAACAGAAATTCAGGGACAGGAGAGTAAAGCAAAATCCC